TTCTTTTCTTTCTGTCAGTTCTATTAACACAGATTACTTAAGATTACAAACCGCCGGCAGGTGAAGTAACAGATTTATTACTTATGAGATATGGTTCTTGCACATAACTAATGTAGTAATTTAATACACATAGTCCTTGAAGCTAAAACTTTGGCTTCAAAACGGCATAAATGAAGCCTATTTGCATACAGACTGTGAGGCTGTGGTTCCTTTACTGCTGAACAAGCTGCACAGCACAGGATGAGGAAATGGAAGTGAAGCAACAGACTGACTTCACCCCTTTATTGCCTTGCAAATATCCCAGTGTTGAAAACAGAGCCCTCTTGGTCAGACACAACCGTTCAGCTCTGCCCTTGAATCCGTCGCTCTATATCAGCTGATGGTACGTACACCACACAGAAAAGCTTTATCCGGTTCAACTTAAACCACTCTGTTGCTGTTGTTGAATACTGTTATGCAGGAAATGAAGCCAGTGTATGTTTCATGATCGGGGGGTGCTTCTTTTTGCCTGGCTCCTGTTGAGCCAATGGGACTTTGATTAAGGTTAGTTAATGAGTAACTCAGGAGAGGTGCAACCGTCAGCAGACGTTTGTTCAGCTCTTACTGTATGACTCATGCAGTCACAAGGAGCATAGGTCTCTGTGTGTTTATTATACAGACAGGACCGCATAACAGGACTTTGTGAGGAGGTTTTTTAAACTTTGTATGAAGCTTTTTGTTGGTTGTGACTGAGGAACAGTGCTGCTATGGTGAGTTGTGTCCTTTTCAAACACTGGTTCTGACGCTTTAGACCTAAATCTTGTTCTTTGTTCAGATATCACTGCTTGTTATTCCTGTTGTTATCATCTAAAGTGATTCTCTACAGGTCTGTCAGTGTTTGTTAACCAGGTTTACTTTGTTACTGCGGTTGCTTGAGGTTTCCTTCTAACAATCACACAGGCCTCGGTAAACTCATATCTTTTCCTGTTGTATCAGATGCAGGAAGTGAAAGTTTTGGTCGTTCAGAGTTGAGACTCCAGAGGTTGCTGTTGAGTCCGGTTCACATGATTTGCCCTCATTTCCCGCAGGCTGACCCAAACCCCCAGCACCCGGCCACTGGCTCGTCGGCTAAACTCGACCAAGTGCAAGGTCAGGTCAACGAGGTTAAAGTCATCCTGAAAGACAACATCAGCAAAGTGCTGGAGAGAGGCGACAGGTTAGACGACCTGATTGGCAAGACTGATGACCTGCAGGCATCGGTGAGTATTTGATCAGTATTAAAACAGGGCTCGAGTACTGTATTTCATTTTGAGATACCTGCTACTTTATACTGAATAAAAACATAGGCATATAAAATACAGTGGTTCTGCCTTGTAACAATCAATCAGCATCTACTGAGGGCTCCTTGTTACGTTTCAGAAGTCAATGAGTGAATCAGAGACACATTTACGCTCTGAACTCCCCAGATGGTTTCATTTAAATAACTGCTTGAGGACCAAAGTGGTGAAATTAACCAATATTTAAAGCAGCAACCAGGGATTTTCATTTAGTGTTGATTCTGGCGGCCCTTGTGGACGAAAGCAGTAGTTTTTCATTGATTTCAAGGCAAATCCGACATGGTGGCAGCCATCAAGAACAACATATAAATCTTCTCTCTCTTCTCTCTCCTCTCTCAGTATTAAATTACAAATCTTTTTAGAACCAGTTAAAAACTCCTTGTAATAAGTTTAATAAAAGGGCAAAAGATTTGAGAAACACCCAAACGCCCTCCTATTAATCATCTTAAAACCCCTTAAATTACAATAATATCATATATAATAATACCAGTATATAAACCACAGTGATCCCTTTTCAAAGTGCTTTTAACTTTGATACTTTAGCTAAAGGTTGTTAATACGTCTATACTTCTTTGAGTAGGACTACACTTTTACATTACTGTATTGTGGTACTTTCACTTAAAGGAGAACTCCACCGATTTATCACTGCAGTCTAATAACATTGTCAGAGCAATGGTGGACAGAAAAGAGAAAAAAGGATCAAAGCTGATTCACATATCGTCTTTCTTTTATTCCACACGGGATCAAAATCTGGTGCCTACATTACATACAACTGACAGTTATTCAGGTTTTTATGCTTATGGTAGCTAATGAAGTCTCAAATAGAGATGAGGAGCAGCTGCAGAGGTCTAATAAGATCTTCTACCTCTGCACACACAGATTATTTTCATTTTTCAAACTCTCTTCAGACCCGAACCGAACTCATCAGATTGTGTGCAGCTCTCTGCGGAGCCATAAAAGACTTCCTACAACTGTTAGTTAGAACTCCCAAAGACCTGTAAGCAGACACTGATGTGTAAAATCGGTGGAGCTCCCCTTTAAGTAAAGGATGTGGGTGCTTCTTCCATCGCTGGTGTTTTATTAGGTTTCCGTTATGTTTCTTTTTTCAGGCTGACTCGTTCCAAAGAACATCCACACGGGTTGCCAGGAAATACTGGTGGAAAAACATTAAAATGATGATTATAATCGGTGTGATTGTGCTGATCATCGTTATCCTCATCATCCTCTTTGCCACCAATGTAATATAAATCCTATCGGCACTCCTTTTACTACCAGCTCAGGACTGAAAGCAATCAAACTGGTGGATGAAGCTCAACCTGCAGACATCTACTTGCTCTGATCTGAGCCTCTGATCATTTCAGCTCAAATATTTGTGTAAATTCAAAAGGAGAAATGTTTTGTATTGATCAGGTTTATCTGCGATGATGTGGATATAAAATTCAGAGCGCCGGAGCTCAAATCGCCAGAAACTCGGCTGAAATACTTCCTTGAACACTCCAACAGTCATCAACATGTGACGTGACTCTATTAATATTTCATAAAGGATCACAAATCCAAATGAGTGTTTATAATTTTTATTTTGTCGCATTTCTTTATGTATAATTACCTGTATATATATATATATATATACTGTATGTTTATGACTCTGTAATAACATATTATATGACTAATGACTATTATTAAGCGGATAAAATGTAACAACGCATTTTATATCTTTGCTACCACAGTACTGTATATATGTGTGATCTGTTCCAACCAATCTAACATTGCAGTGATGTAATAAACGAAGCAATTCACAAATAGCATATAAGAACAATAAATACAAAAACAAGAAGGGATGAGGAACGCCAACTGCTCGAAAACGTTGCAGTCTTCTAAAATAAATGCAAAACATCCAAATCCAAAACTCTTTAAGATACAACAAATACTTCGGTAAATGTAGAGGGGGAAATGTGCTGTAGGTCATAGTGCTCTTCATTTATTCTCTTACAATCAGCTAGTGATCTTTGCTGGATACCATCATCTCTCTGTGGCCAAATGCTCCAACCAGCTCCGACCGCTGAAACCTACAAAAAACAAACAAACACAAATCAGCGTTGGATGAACAAAAACATGGTTAAATTATAAGAAAAAAATAGGAATCCCCCGTGTTTATAATGTCCAATGTAAAAAAGAAAAAGAAAAAACAAACTGGGAACAATTATTTTAACATTTTGTTTACAGTTTTAAAAAAAAAATAGTTAGTCCATAAGCTAGAAATCCTGAAGTGCAATAAATTGAAGCGGTCAAAGCCAAAATATTAAAATGGAAGAAACCTTTGATTGGTCAAAAAATACACATTAAAGAAAGCATTACATGCAAATTTCTGCAAATGTAGTGACACTTCTGGTTTTACAAAAGGTTATAAGAGGAAAATTCATTACAGGAAAATTAACAAAAGGGAGGAGTTCTTTTCCATCGCTGTCAGTAAGACAAAACAGAGCAGTACATGTACACAAAGTAAAGCACTTTATCCCCCAACACAGTAGAGTCCAACTACGAACCAGGTTTTAGCTCATGGACTACTGGCTACAAGAGCTAAATAAAGAAACAAGCATTTTAGATAAGATTAGGAATGCATATATTAACAATAGGAACTGGGAAGTCCAGAGAATGCTGTACGTATCCTTTGAAAAGCAAATAGTTATTTTTTCATATTTATAATCATTACTTGTGGGGGGGAGTAAGGGCCTGTAAAAAATGACAATTACATGTGTATATTTTTAACTTTTACATTACAAACATTTGCAAACAAATTAAAAATGGAAAGAAAGATGACAAAGCTGGACGTGTCCCATATTGTTTTAGTTTAGAAATGCTGATACAGGATGTTGTAAGACCATACCAAATGGCAGCATTCGAGAGCGTATGCTTCTCGTACCCGGTCCGCATTGAGCGGGCCCTGAGAGTATCTGGGAGTCAGCTCATGGCCTGCAAGGAAGCTCCGCTGGCAGGTACAAACAAGGTATGTCAGAGTTAGGAGACAACATACTTCCTTTTCTGTTTCCTTGCACATCCTTAACTTTGGCATCCATTTACTGTAGTAGCAGTACTTTACCTGTTAACTTTACAGTTTAAAAAAAAAGAAGGTGCAAAAGAGGCAGCAGAAGGCCAGCTGTTAAAATAATCGCCACAAGAGTGTAGCCTCTATGTTACCACTACTGTAAAGCACTTGAGGGTGCTGAGAAAAAGAAATTTACAAGAGGAAATTACACAAAATGTAACCAAACAGCAAAGTAAATATGACTAAATTAAGTTTACAGTAAGTAGTGTATTTTTGGTTTTACATACCTACTTGAAGATGAGGGTTTCCCCCATTAATACGGCTTGTAACTGTTGGTGTGACCACCACGCCGTGGCGACTTGCCATATCCACCAGATTGATCTGCAAGCAAGTGCGGCACAAACTTTTTTTTTTTTATCCTTTCAAAAGTGAAACTAAAAGGAATAATTGACATGAAACTGAAGCTCATCAAGGTGTTTCACTGATGGATTTACTTACCGTTGTAGTCACCATATCCATAATAGTTGTTGTAACCAGGGTAATCATAGCCACCATATCCCCCATATCCTTGATTATTGTAACCATAATTGCCATAATTTCCATAGCCTTGATTCCAGTAGTTGCCATAACCCTGGTTCCAATTCTGATTGGGACCTGTAGTTAAACAGAAGAGATTAGAAGCTTTCCCTGTTCGTCTGGAGGTTGTGGTTCACGGCCTGTGCCTTAAAGAGTAACTAAACCCCCAAACCGCCAATGCAAATAGGTATTTAGTTGCTAATAGACATTTTAGTGCTTTTTATTGTTTGAATTTTTACATATGATGCTAAATATGAACAGCGACCTCCCTCTACTGGTTGAAATCCGGCTTCCGATCTGGAAGCAGGCGACGTGTGCGCTGCCGGCTTTCGTCCCTCCTCGTCCCGTCCTATACAACAAACGTCTCGACCCTGCAGACGGCTACGCAGCTGTAGCCCGACACTCCCTCACAGACACCGGAGAGTTCGCCTCTTTGAGCCGCTATCTAACGTCACGACACAGGCAGAAACTCTTTACAAACAGCCGTGAATGCGTTTCTAGTGACTGTGAAAGCTCCGGCGGACTCTGCTGCACTGAGTGGTCGGTCTGTCGCTCTGGCCGGCTGATGATGAAGGTGATGGTGATTCTCCTGTGATGTCTTCTGCTGCATTTTTTTTAATTTGCTGAGAGGGAGGGAGCTAGCAGAATTTAGGGGTTCAGTTACACTTTAACCTCTCAATCCTCAGATGAAGCATCAATCTGTACAAAACCATCAAAGTAAACACATGTTGTGGTTTTATGGGAAGTTATGTGCCAGTCTTTGAAATAACTTCCCATAATGCCTCTTTTACTCTTCTGTTTTTGTGTTCAATAGTGAGCTTTTTTTTTTTACTGTTTAATGTGAATTCAAAAGGTGAACAGGAAGCATTATTTCACATTTTCCACTCACCACCACCTCTTCCTCGAGACCTGGATGAGTACGAGTATCCACCTCTGCCTCCCCAGTACTGCTGCTGCTGGTACTGTTCCTTGGACATCGCCACTTTTATTTCACACTACAGGGACACCGGTTAACTTGATTTATTGTCCCAGCGATCATGTGTCGGTTATAAAAGTCACTAGAATATGTGCCAAACGAATTACCACGTAATAAAGTTATATGTGAGAGAATACAGAGCCTGTACCTTGCTTAGTCCAATGTTGTGGTATTTTTTCTCCATGATGCTCTTCACTGGATCCTCCTCTTTGAATGTGATGAAGCAGAAGCCTCTTCTTTTGTTTGTTTTGTTCTCCATGGGAAGCTCAATCGACTCCACCTGTTCACATTATCAATGAACGTATAAAATCATGTTTACTTTTGTTCAATTATATTTATAAAAGGGAACGCTGAATCTGGGAACGGACCTACCTCTCCGAAGGCACCAAAGTACTCTCTGACTTTCTCTTCAGGAGTGTCTGGAGAGAGACCTCCAACAAAGATCTTCTTTACGGGCTCCTTGCTCTTCATGGCCTTGGCTTTTTTGGGGTCAATGACCTTTCCGTTGAGTTTATGTTCCTTCTGTGAGGCCACCTTCACGACAAAATAATCAAGTGACACAAGGGGGTCGAACAGAAAAATAATCTTTAAGTATCAATTCACAACTTCTAATAAGTAACTTTCAATGATTAGTAAACCATACTGTATTCACTTTATTGCAGAGCTTCAACTAACAACTATTTTCATTGTCAGTTAATCTGCTGCTTCATGTATCGATTAAATAATTAATATTATTTTCCATTAAGTGTCAAAAAGTTGCAAAAAAGTTGCCAATTTCAGTTCACAGAGTGAAAGGTGACATATTCACAGTAATAAACTCGATGATATTCAGTTTATAATCAATTAAAACAGAGAAAAGCAGCTGGAAACAGCAGACATTTGGCTTTTTTTTACTAGAAAAGTTCATACAGTTGCCAATTTCTTTCCTGTTGAACCTGATGATTAAGATTAACTCCCTTTTTGACAGCTTTATTTTACGGTATACGTCAGCACCCAGTACCTTGGATTGCAGTTCATACATACAATGTAAATACTGGACTCTACCTTGTCGACACTTTCTGGTTCTTTGAAGAGCACAAAGCCGAAACCCCTCGAACGGCCAGTCATGGGGTCCAGTTTTAATGTGCAGTCTACAACCTCTCCGTACTTGGAAAAGTAATCTTTCAGGTCCTTCTTAGTCGTGTCCCAGCTGAGGCCTCCTACAAACATCTTCCTATTGGCAAAACAGCACATTTAAGGGCCCGTAAATAAGAAAACAGCAGCACTTATTTAAGTGTTTACAACTCTGGTATAGTATCTTAATAGTATGGAAGCACATTTCCACCAATGTGACGGGATAAAAACAGATTCTGTATGTTATTATAATGAGAAACTTTCTCAAAATAATAACTTAATATGACAAAGTCATTATTCTGAGATACTAAGTCAAAATATTGAGAAGGATTCTCGTTATTTTTAGATATTAAGTGATTATTTTAGATA